ATTGCAGTGGTAGTTCTTCGCCTCTTAAGGGCTTCTCTCTAAACAGTTCAACGTACTTATTCCCAAATTCTTCCTAAAAATATCCACTTCCTAAATCTTCTTTATTCGTGGGACATCGGAGCTCAAAGTTTTGAAATTCTAGGGATGTTAGGTCTATAGCGTTGTGTCTTCTAAGTAGACTAAAATTATCAAATTTTAGGCTAGTCTAAGAGCAGTCAGGGTTAAAATGCCTCCCACTTGTTCTTCCCGATGGCTGCGAATCGTTGTCGCTTTGAACTCTCGCGTACAACCACGTTTAGCCCGCACTCGAGTCTAAGTGCGCTCCAACACGCTAGGAGCACTCCTGGCGAGGATTGCATTCGCGCAATGGCCCGGTTAACGTTCCCCCGAATTACGCAGGTAGATTGTTGTGCGCAGCTGTCGACGTGAATCTCGCATTAGCGCCTCCGACGACACGATTCACGCAACCCTGGCTCGTTCACGGGAAAGCTGCCAATGGTCCTTCCGTATCTGCCGCAGAGATCGCTTGTGGAGTACGTACAGAGGTCCAGTTTGATTCAGTTCTCCTCTCAGGGTCACCATCCTCTCCGTGAAGCATCTTTTTACACCGTCTCCACCTTTGTTACGAAATAGTTTCCTTTTCCAATGTCTCGAAATTTTCTGTTATCTCTCAGAAGAAATTAAGGAATGTCCCTTGACATAGTAAAAAAACATGAATAGTTTCTCGCGGGTAGATTAAACTTTCGCCCGCGGATTTCTCAAGCGTTAATGCGACTGCGGCACGCTGATCTACATTCAGGTCAGAAGTGTATGGCTCCCGAGACTTTACGACCCGTGACTTTTTCCAAATGCACTTTTCATGTATTATCCGTCTGCTTCCTCGTGTACTGTTGCGCTTGTCCAAAGGAACAATAGTGTTTACTTAGGACGGCAAAGCATGAAAAGACGCAGAACGTAGTCACGACTCTTGAGAACGTTGTCTACTGTTTGTCGACCAGATAGTATCCATTTCGCGAATCTAGGGGATCAAAACTTGGAAAACTTCGAATTGGTGTTAAGAGTTTAACAGCGAACCAGTGTTACTAATTTCAGCCGCAGTGTTTAAATTCTTAAGATTCCCGATGCATTTAACAGAGTCTTGCCGACATCGCGAGAATCCAACGCGAGGTAGTGGGCGAGTTTGTTTAGCGGAAGTAACACGAGGAACAAGGAAACTCCTCGTTCTCGGTGGTTTGTCGTTTTGCACCAGGGTAATGCTGTGCCTGCCTTCGCGTCATCCCCTAACCTCCCCCGTAAACAATTCCGCACCCGTAACTGCAGCGAGCATCGCTGCAGTTTGCGCGCGATTTAGCTCGGACGAAAGGACGTCCATTTTTTACGGAATACTCTATCCAGTCAAATGGAAATTGAGGATGCTTCCAAGGTTAAACAACATCTGGTTTAGAAGACTTAGAGAGGGGGTAGGTTTAACACGTTGACTGCCGGGCAAATATTCTTTAGAATTTCTATTATTTACACTAATGTATTTATTTTTGTAACTTCGTCAAAATTCACGAGTTTCGTTCAAATTCATTTCCTTTCATGCTTAATTTTCAGAATCAATTTTGTCACTTCCTCAACGAGTGACGCGGCGATCAACGTGTTAACTAGCGAGGCAGTACTTGAAGTACTATTGTGTTTTAGGGCTTCAGAACTCGAGAAACTGACGACCCTTCGTGAGTGGAATTTAAAACAAAGAGATAGTCGCGATACATGTATATCGGATAATTCGTTCGTAATTGGAGCTACGGAGCACGAGCTTCTGCAAACGATTCGCCCTCTTTATCTTCTTCAGCAAAACGGTACTTCGTCAGGTTACGGGGGAGGAAGTCAGAGATTAATTGAGAGGCACGAGCAGCCACGCAGCTCGACGACGTGGGGCACAAAACTCCATTATGCACGCACGCAACCGTGGAGCGCGCGCGTACGCATAATTCGATCCACGGGGCGGAAAACCGCTTGTGGTGTACGGCTATTACCCGCAATGTAAACTATAACCTCTTGTACGTGAATAGGAGCAACACATGTTTCGCGTATCGCGCGAAAAACGCGTGAAATTCACGCGCGGCCCATTCATGAAGCGTCTACACGCGTCGAGAGGATAAGAAGTTAAGCAACGTCCTGGAATATTTCATTTCCTAAACAAAATATGTTATCGCGTGAAACTTTTTTTTAAGGAATTAAGCTACTCTCAACGTGTGCAATACACTTTTTGTATTCGTTTTTTGATGTTCTCTTTTCAGTGAAGAATCTCTGCTTGAAAGCAATGCCTCGAAAAATGAGGCACCAAGTACTTCAAGTACATCAAGAGCTTCAAGTACAGTTTCACGAATGAAAAGTCGACTAGAATACGAATAAAAAAATTTGTTTCTATATATTAAACAGCAGCTTAATGCAGTACAAAAAGTTTCACGCTGCGGTATTTGTTGTGAATCGTGTAAAATGTTCCTGAAGATTGCTCGACTCTTCGACTCGCTAGGGGAACCCCTTCAATAAACTTGTCAAGACCCCTTTACTACGCACCTAAACGGCCGTGACGCGTTCATGCGGTCGTTTATTTCACACCGGTTGGAATCGACGTCGCAAGAATTATCCAACAAACGATCACACCCCTCCGTACACGCTGTAGGAAGATGAAAGGAAGGGAAACAAAACGGGTTGAAATTCAGACTGGGCTCGGCAAGGGGAGTATTCCAGCGTCATTGTACACCTATAACTAACACAATTTTTAACAAAATGGGTTACTACATTTTAGACATTTATTTTCCAGGAACCACATTGAAGACTACTAGGAAACGGTACCCTTCAACTGAGACGGTTAAGTATTCTTACTCTAAATATAAATAGAAACCAACTAACCTCAGCAAGTCCTAGTACGTTTCCAAAATTCAATTTCCAGAAATCCCATTGAAGATTAGAGTACCTCCTTAACGACCCAGTCGTCTCGACTAGGAATCCGAAGATAAAACAGAGAAGCGACGACTGGACCCGACGCCTGTCCTTATACGACGCCAGCGGAGGATGTTCTTGCGCGAAAAGCATCGTACCACGCCGTGGGCCAGACCAGTCGAGTTCTTTAATGAGGGAGACGCGCGGCCGTCACTGTGTGCGCATCACGGATCCTCGTGGGTCGGTGTTGGTCCACGCATACCTGCAGGTACGCGACCATGTGGTACGCAGCTGGGCCACCTTCGTCCCATCGGAACCAGCCTCGCCGCATTCCCTCCCGACTACCTGGGAACTTCGTTTCGTCACGACCTCTTCGTCTTCTGACTCTCGATCCACGTTTGCTGCTCCCCAGTGGCGCCTCCACGGTGGACGATCTCGAAGGGGGTGTAAGTCTTTCAGAAACACCTTTTAACATGCTGAAGATATCTTTCCTTTTCATTTGTGATTTAGTAGAGACACTTGAAGGTATTGATATAGGAAACTTTTGGAGAGAGGATTGAGAGATGTTCGAGGAAAAATGGAACATTTCGTATTGGACTTTGCTTTGCTCGAGAATTTCGGTCCTTAAATGAGCCGTTCACTGTATCTCATATCTCGATATAGAAAACAGATGTCATAGTATCAATCGTTCATTTATTTTATTTTTGTTCGAGGCAATTTTTAGAGTCATAGACTTCATAAATTTGTAGTTTAGAAAAAGTATATTTATTATATTTTTTTTTGTAGATCAATTATTAACGATACGTAGTGGAGTAGAAAACATTTCGAAAACGTTATCGAGTTCGCCGAGCATCCGATAGTTTAATTTCGTTGTAACATCGTTTGCCACAGTCCACGCGGATCGAACGGGGTCGCGGCGTTTTATTAATTTAATTGAAGGAAGTATCGCCGCGGATCGTCCTCTGGATCTCGTTCGTCTTCGCCAGGCGGAACGGAAATTCTCGATTTTCTCTGCCAGCGAGAAAGCATCTCTTTCCCTTTCCAGCGTCGCGAAATTGAAGGCACGTAGCACGATTTATGAAGTGAGCACGGCGGAAAAATAATATCGAGAAATGTGGCGGCGTAGCGCCGGCCGTGTGTTTTCTTCGCGGAAATTGTCTTCGGAATTGGAAGAAAATTGTTGCCACTCTTTGCGTCTCCGTCTATTATTACTGGTCGCGAATTCGCTGCCCGTGTATGGGACACGTAGTTTATATTTATCGGTGCAGGACTGTTTGCCGAGGGAACGTTTATTATCGTCACACAGGGTATCGTGGCCTCGTAGCACACGCTTCTCGTATTTACACGTTGCAGAGGGACCGTTAAAATAGTTTGCATTTGGGTTTCGAAGGACGAACGCTTGTTGACTTTTCTTCCTCGTTTAATTTAAACGGGGAGCTCCGAGGGGTAGGGAAAAATTGTTTACTCGCTTACTGGGAGGATTACTTCACGCTAATTTACCCGGTTCTTATTCGCCTGGGAAAATTTATCATTTGCAACGATGATGGTACGCGGCGAAAGCTCGCTTTCTTTAGGTTAGAGAAAAGAAACGACTCGATAGTAATTATCGTAGGAATTCATATTTACGGAACACGTAGAAGTTTCATCATCTACCTGTTTGAGTAGAGGATACACTCGACGTTAACCAGTGAATTTTGACGACATTTATTACCGTATGTACATGAAAATTGTAAACAAAAGTAGGCGTGTCTCAGACGGGGCCCCAGGTAGGATCGGGGCCTCGATTGGTGCGCTCCTGCGCGTCGTCCGTCGATCGCGATCCCGATCCACGCGGCGGCAGTCTTGCCGCGCCAGCGCGATCGAGAGGATCGATGCCGTGAGTCGTATCTGCGTGTCTCGTGCTCCGAAATATCGTGAAGTGATCAAGAGCGGTGCAGTGAAACAGAATCCAGAGAAATGTTCACGGTTTCGCGTCGCGCGGAACGATAACGCTCGCCGGAGGATCCCTAGATAATGCTAGGTAGAATTTCCAGTGACACGGTGCTTGTTTATCGCGAAACGGAGTTCCTTTTTCCATTATTCCGTGCATCGTTAATTTACGATGACTCAACCCCTCCCCTTTCCGTGTTATTTAAAGTTCCACGGCTGAGAGGCTCCCTCGTTCGGCGGGGCTTCTTTCGTTTCTGTTTTCTTTCTCGTGGAATACGCGCGGGCATGTATCACAATAATTCGCGTTCGCGTTCTGCGCAGCGAATTTTCCCCGGCGTGTAAAATACCCAGGTTGCTGGCGGACAATTATTACAACACGCTTAAGATCGCGTCACGCTTACAGGATCCTCGGTTAATTTCTTAAGAAGGATATCCCAGCTCCGACGCTTCTTAAGCTCGCTTAATCTCTCGCTCGCCTTTCAACTTCGATTCGAAATTCGCTGTCGCTCGGGGTTTAACTTCGTCGCGTCGCAGGGAACGGATGGGCGATGCTTTTAACACATTGTTGACCGGCAATTTTACACAGACGCGTCACTTCGTGTCACCGGCTATTATTTCGTAATTGAACGTGAAATTAAAACAATCTAAATAAACTCCGATAAACTTTATTTATATTTTACCAATATTGCTTTTGCAATATTCTATATCGCCCTGGGTTTCGTAAAGTGAAATAGGTAATGCGAGTGCGAACACGAGTTAACTCCCGACCGTTCAACGATGTGTTAAGTACAGCGAAAGAAAAATGAACAGCAGTTAGTTGATGGGGATTGCAATCTGAGTAACGTGAAGTGGAATTAATTGTGGAAGGGAATCGAGGGGAATAGAGAGTTACAGGGTGTTTCTATTCATCAATCACTACTAGAATTAAATTCCACTCTTGTCCATATGCTCTTTCCCCAACCAGAATTTCATTGGACCTCCTGGAGCCCGTCTTTTTATCTAATCCATTCAGGAATAAAAAGGCGCCCTCCTAGCTTCAACGATCTATCTCTGAATTATCTTGTTCCGTGCGCCCAACCGTCGCGGTTCATCCTCACCGAATTAACCTAGACCTTCTCGATCGCTGTTGCGACAGGTTCGATTATCGTCGAGGCTGCAGCCGATCCATGTCGATATCGCGAGGTCTTCAGTTTCGATAGACGCTTTACGCGAATACCGGAAGCTCGTGACGCAACCCAGGCGCGGTGATTAATGTCCGACGATCGTTTTACAGAAGGCGCGTCGTTCTGGCGTGTCATCCAGCGATAGCTTGGCCATCGTGCTCCGTTCCCGCGGCTGATAACAGTGTTTGAACTGTCAGTCCGTTTGTTGGGGCGATAGTGACTCGGTTTCACAATTAGACGTCCGTGAAAAGTTCGAAATCATCCAGAACTGCGATCAATCTTCTCTTTGGGGGGGCCGCCGCGCGGCGATAGTGGACTAGCAACGAATTCGGGAATGAAAACAACCGTGGAATTTATCTTTGGGGGTGTAGAGACCGGTGGGTAGGCTGGAAACTTTTTTTTTTTTCTAGAAACGAAACAGGTTAAAATTAATGAAGGATAGGGTACAGTTGCTGGAAGTGACTCGGGATGTAAGCTGGCGATGGGAAAGATTTTATTTTAATAGTAGATGGTAGGCGATAGCTTTGATTGCGACTTTAATCGAATATCTTGTGGTAGTTATTTGTATTTAACATCGTCTCGAGACAATACAGATTGCAACTCTCATTAACCTTCTCAGACCTAGAGTCCGCTATTGAGGACACAAAATTACCACACACGAAACCGACACTATCGTTTAGGCCAAATGACCACTTTTCCTCGAGAACTACACTATCAGGATTTTTTATTTTATTTTCGCCATACTAATTTTAGTCCAAGTTAACCCTGCAAATTGAATTGCGTACGAGAAAAAAAATAATTCGAGTCTGAATGGGTCAACCAACCGATTAGTTGCCCAACGTGTCTCTTTCACTTCTCGCTCCAAATCCGTTCCCTACTTCAAATTTTACCCCTTTAGACGCGTCCGGCATTCCCAAGGCGGCTTCTCGAGCGTACCCGTCGAGGAGGCTGCAAAAATAGAAACCAGTGATTGATTCTCGCGCTCTGGCGATGGTGGAGACCCGAGAGAACCAGTCTCGTCGCGAAACGAACGCGACCCGTCCACGGTGAATCTGCCTCGGTCAAATTACAGTGTTTACGGTGTTGCGTGGCTCTGTATGCCGTTTCCGTTCGGTGGCTGTCCCGCGACTGAGTGATCTCGTGAACGATAGTGCGCGACTTGCTACTCGAGCGTGAACCAACCGATAGCGTTCGAAGACGAAGTCGTTGGATCGTCGAACGAGCAACGATATCGCGCGAGTTCTCGATACTTGGGTGCTTCTCTGCGTGGAATCGGTGCTGGTGTCGTTTGCTTGGAGGAGAACGTTCCAGGTCGAAACGGGGAAGAGGGAAGGGAGAGGTAGGTTGCGAGAATGTCTTGGAATTTATTTAGGAATTTATTTTGGAAGGATGTTGTTAAAAGGAGTGCAAACTTGACAGTATGCTTCACTTCTAGTTTGAAATTTTATTTTTGACCATCCATGAGTAATCTTCGTCTAATTAACCCTTTGAGCGCCAAAAAGCGATATATATCCTCCTACATACACTTGCGAAAAGGGCCGAGGTACAAGGAGACCTCTTGCAAGCTATTTCTTTCGTGTTTAAATCCCTTGTTAGGAAAGCATTGAGAAACCGTGCCCTTTCTATTCGCGTAAATCTTCGTTCGCTCCGTTTTCTGGAAATCCCTCGGCTCCAAGAAGAGGCGCCCTTTTTGCCAGAGCTCTCGCCACGTGGGGCCCGATTCGTGGCCCGCAGATGTGGACCCCGAAGTCCTCGGTCCCTCCTTTCTATATTTTTTTTCTTTCTCTCTCTGTTTCTTCTGTTTTTCGCGACGCGGCACGACCCTGCGGGCAGGAACGTTGTTTTTCTTTGCAAATAAACCACGTGCCCCGTCTCTGACAACACAATGTGTTGCCAACTCGTGCCGAGATATTGCGCCACCGCGATGCGAGATGAGCTTTTTGTTTCGAGAATCCACGCTGCGACCCGTTTATTTATATCTGTCGGTTATTGCCTCAAATTCGGTCGCCCTTTATCGCCGCGGTGGCCGAAGGAGGGCACAAACTTCTTCCTCTAGGAGGTTTCTCATTTTTAATTACTCACAAATGATTGTGAATTTCCTTAGATGCAGGCTGTAGTTCTAGGACTTATTATTTTTTTATTCAAATAGTGTCGCTGGGACCAGTCGATTTCATTCGATATCTCGTTTACCTAGAGCTAGTTTGGCAGATAATTGGAGTAAAATCTGAATTCGAATTTTATTTCTCAAAAAGCAGAGAAAATAAATTTAACGAACGAAGAGGGTGTCGATAAATTTTTTAATTAAATTCTCCATCGTCTCTATTGGAATTTCTTTAAAGTGCACCCAAGACCTTTTCTGTTTCTTTCAATTCGCGATGAGAATATCCGCGTTTCTAAAATCAGGGAAAAATCGTTTTGTCTCTCTCGGATCGAAAGAGGGCTAGAAGAGGACGAGAATGGTTCGATTCCTCGCATAGGAGAGAAGACTAATCGGCCCCGTCTTTGATCTCGCTTTTGTACCGGATACAGTCGTTACGGAGCTGCTCTCTCTTTTCAAAACCAACCGGCGCGCCACGATGAAAGTGCATTCACACGAAGATAACCAACACGACTGCCGTCCTCGTGGCATTGTCAGGGCTCGTTCAGCGTCTGATTATCGCCCAGAATGCGAATCGACATTCGTACGTACGTTCTTTCGAGCTTTATCGCGAGCGTACTGGCATTTCTCGAATAATTTCGTCTAGATCACTGTCCCTCGCGAGAGAACTTTTTTTAAATACTCATAACTATTCTCGGACACCGAATCATAGGGACACCCTGGTCTAAAGAACGATTCATCGATGCCAATTACCAGTGTAAGATTACAGAGTGTAACCGATACGAACAAACCGTCCTTGCATCGAAGTTTCTAAACTCGTACTCCAATTACCTACAAGAGGAAGCCGCGAACTGCGGTCTGATTTTTTTTTTCTTTTTTATTCATTTTTCGTTCGGATGTAGGCGAGAACGTCGCGAACGACCACAGAAAATAGCGAGGAATTCTCTACTTTTCGAGAAATAAACGCTTTCGAATTCAGATTTTGCTGCAGGCCGAGATAACGAATGAAATTGGCTAGTCCTAGCAATAACATTTAAATAAACAAATTTATTCTTCCTTTAAGTCCTGCGTTGATACTCCGGCGATAATCCAAGCGACTATTAGGGGACATTCTGGGCGGTTTAACGCCGTCATTCACAGAAAGTTGCGCTCGTAGGATCCCCTCTGGCTCGGTACATGAAACGACGAGCCCGCGTGGGCGTACTACGCTCGTACGATCGAAAGACGCGAGCGGTGCCGGTTGCAAGCGCGAAACGCGAATAAAGAAAGTTTCATGGGCGCGGTAATGAGTTATCGCGAGGCTGCCTTCGGCTCTTGTCGAGAGACCTTCTAAAAATCGACGATTTTACGCCTCTCGCTTTCGAACTCGTCGATAAATTCGTCCACGAACGTCGTGCTAGCTCGAGCACACCACTCGGAGTGACCGTAACGAAAAAGACAATTATTACGAAGTAGAAGAAATCGAAGCCACGAGGATAACGAGGATCGCTATATATACCGCGCAGCACTAGATTTTTAATCGTGTAACGAAGCACAGGTGATATCGAGAGAGGGTTAGGTTAACAATTTGTTTAATTTCAACGCGGAGGAAGTCTCCGTATCGCCATCGAAACAATACCGTTTCGAGGTGTCGAAATCCAGGGGAAAAAGGTTCTCTCGGCAGTTATTCGAACCGGTTCTTTGTTTCTATTCTGGTTGAGTCACGCAGCCGAGATGGATCCGTATCCCTTTCTTAGTCGACAACGGCAGAGTCTCGCTGGCAGTCGAGAGAAAAATAGTGCAATTTCCATGTTTGCGGTGCTACCGCGGCTTTAATAACACCTCGCTCATAATACGACTCTGGACTTCAGAATACCCAAAGCAGTCAGATGTGTTCCACCAGGTTGAACTCCCATACATAGCAACAATGAGAACAACAGACTAGAGAGAAACAACCTGGTCCAATTTCAAGATTAACCTACACATCGATAGAGGGATCCAGCATCTAATCCAAGCGGAGCTCGCAATCACCAAAAGACCAGCTCGAAATTAAAACGAGACCCAAAGCGATCCATAGATCACCCGTGGCGAGTCTACTTTCCGCGGCACGAGCATTATCGCGAGCATGTGTAAATGCAGGCGCATAATGTACATACCGAGGTCGAGAGAGGATCTCTCCTGCGGACTAGCCTCGGTAATCGACTGCGGCCACGTTATCCTGGCAATTCCTGGCTGCGGTAGCGTGGCGTAATTTCGTCGTAGCTGGCGTTAACGGCGGGAGCACGTTTGCCAGGGCCATCGGTGATCCCTGATTGCGCGGAATGGGTCTCGCTATCGGTACAGCCTACCTGCCACCGAGGCCATTCCACGATTTGCGACGAGAGCATTCTCCAGAAGAAATTTATCGGAGACACGAGGCTTTCTTGGATGGAGGAGCACTTTCTCGTTTCGTCGGTTACTTTGTCGGGATCCACTGTGGTTCTATGTCGTAAGCTATAGCGTGTGCTCTGTGAGTCTGTCGGGTCAGAAGGGAGCACGAATGTATGAGTCGTGCCTTGGGTCTGGGTCTCTGAGAGGGAATTTTAACAAGGGGTGCAAAGTTGTTTCAGGAGTTCTCTACTAGATGTCTATCTATCACAGTTTCATATAACAAGCTATACATAGTCAGGAAGGGCATGGAAAGAGAGATTGGGTCATACCCTTCAAGAGGAAATTTTATCAGAGAATTTTACCCGTTGAGTACCATTTTAAGCAAAGATGGATGATTCTAAACAAAAATCTATATTTCGATCAATTTTCTTTTAAGGTTCATAATATTTTTACACGGTACTAAAAGCACGTTAGGCTTCCTTTGTAACTAACAAAAAACTAAATTTGTGTAAAGAAAATATTTCCACAAAAACTTGGCACTCGAAGGGTTAATATATTAAGCCTTGAATCCGTGAGACTAGGTGATTCGAAAACTGTCTTTTTGCTTAGCTTCGAGTCTCATTCACTTGACATAGCTACTCACTATAAATTCCAATTACGAGTAATAATTCTCTCGCACGAGGGCAAGCAAAAGGGATCAGCGACCGTGAAGGATCTACGGCTTCCGATCTCCGCGGATCATTAACGAGCGAAGGCGGGATTAATAAACCTCGGAGCCTGCCCATGGTGAAACTGTGTCGCGAGCACGTTTTCAAAGCCACGGACTCTTTCTTAATTTGTAGCTAATAGGTCGCCGTGATCGTTCTCCCGTGCATGATAAACAGTAGCGATCAAAGGGAGCACACGCAACGCGAGCAGAAATAGCGATCGTTTCACGGTGCATTTCTACCGCGGCGATCTTTCTCTCCCGGTGCAGTTGCACAGGTCATGCACCTCAAAGGCCAGCCCTGGCAGGGCCGTGAATAGCCCATTGGCTCAGGGTCGCGGCAGGGGAGAAGGTTGTGAAAGGGCACATCGAGTGTTTTCAGAAGGCACTCGTCGATGGTACCACGAAGAGAAGAATAGAAAACGGATACGGTTTGTCGAGCCACGCGATACATCCAAGGGAGACTTTCCACGGAAAACTGGCGATTCCCAAGCTAGAGGAAAATCATTTTCCTCGATTTCTCCTGAAATGTTCGTCCAAGGGCCAAAAGGACTGTAATGCGTTCTATTGGGAACGGAAAAAGCTGCAAAAAGAATTACTTTCCCAGTTTTAATATTGGGGCGAGGCTCGTTTTATCATCGAGATCCATCGGTTGCGCTCGTGTACCCCGTTATTATTGTAGGACTTCGAAGAAGGACTGACATTCGAAGGGAGTCCGGTATTTCCGCGTGGAAATGTACGTCTTTCGCTGGAAAAAACGAGACGTTCTATGTATTTTAATCGCGTCTTAATGAAACATTGCGGGGGTATAATTTTATCCAGACTTTAATTTTCGTATAAAATAAAAAGATTTTCATAATTTTGTCATAACCAGGAATGGAATTTGAAGTGACGCGAATTCACGTCAGCGGTCGCGAATGTGTTAATATCGAAATAATTGACGTTCTTTTGGAATGCATCAGTTTCCTACCTCTAAATTATGAAAATTCCCCTTTATAAAAATTGCACGAGTTAATAAAAGCTCTCCGCTGTTCCATATAAGAGATTCAGGTTAACCCCCTCGAGGAGGTAATCAAAGCTTCCCCTCGACGCGATAAACGTATCATTGTTGTTCGTACATCTTGTAGGTTCGCGTGTATGGGATTAAGTTATGTCGAGGAGCAACATTATCTCGTCCCACGTAGGT